ACCACAATTCTGATTAACAGAAAAGTGGAAAAAAAGAAGAAATGATAACATTACAGATGTCAAGATCACAAGGAAGATGTGCAGAGCAAGGAGGGCATTATAGGTGAGAACTGGAGCGGTAACTCTTGTGGATTAGCAGGACTGTTACTCAGAGCTCTGCAGCACTTCATCGCAGCGTGAAGTCGCACCCCGTTCTTACAACCAAGGAACTGAAGCACAGAGTGGTCACATTTAAGCGACTTATCCAAAGCTATACAGCAAGACTGATCAAGCCTCAAGTCAAACCTGTGTCCCTTGATTCTGTGATCTGCAAAAGCTGCTGTAGCACCCAGAACTATCACATAAGATAATTTTTTTTTTGTTGCTGCACCAGGATTTAAGGGAAACTACCTTATATGCTGTATGGTATTTGAAAGCACAAGCAAAATACAAAAGAACATAGGTCATATAGCTATATAAAGCACCCAAATCTTCCACGAATATGCACTTATCTGGTAAGTTTTCACAAGCCAGTCAAAACTGAGTATTGTGGTGGCAAAATTATAGGATCGTAGAATCACAGAACAGTTTGGGTTGGAAGGGACCTTTAAAGGCCATCTTGTCCGACTCCCCTGCCATGAGCAGGGACATCTTCAACTAGACCAGGTTGCTCAGAGCCCCGTCCAGCCTGACCTTGAATGTGTTCAGGGACGGGGCATCTACCACCTCTCTGGACAATCCACTCTTGCCTCAGCTAATTCTCTGTAATTCAACAGTTGTTTCTTACAAACTAGGCAAAACTTTTCATATAAAAGCATTTAAATGTGATTACTTCATTCTGTAGCTTCTCGTTTGTCTGTCTAGAGTTCTCCAAAGAGGCCAAAGTTTCAATCTTTTCTTTGTGAATGGCATCCTTCTCTTTGGTCACCTTCTCCACAGTCTGGAAAACGTCTTCTGCCATTTTGGCAGCCTATATATAACGGGGGCGGGGGGAAGAAGAAAAAAAAAAAAAGAAAATAAGTATTACCAAAGGGAGCTCTGAAAGCAAAAGATTAACCGCAATACTTTATGCACAGCTCCACTGTTTGCCAGATGCTTTCCCATTAAACTAGGTCTTCAACTGGGAATTTATTTGCATTTTGAAGCTGCATAAAGTATAAAAATAAGTGGACATGAGAAGATTCAATTCCATGCAGAAATAGATCATAACCCCATGCTTGTGTTGCCACCAAGGAAGCCCATTTCTTCTTTTTTTAATTCCTGGATTTCTAATTACCACCACTGTGATTGCTCCTAGACTTCTAACAACTTTAGACAGTAGTAGTCCAATAGATATTCACTTCCAACAGACAGCTCTATTTTCAGAAAATGTGGAATTACAAAAAGCAGTTAAAAATTTGATAAAGAATTAAAAATTAAATAGGAGATAAAGCCAATTAACACATTATTTCACTGTGTTCATTATGCCCTCATAAAAGGAAATACTTTAATAAAAGTATATTAAAATACCTAGGTAGGCATAATACATTCCTATAGGGTATCTTGATTCCAATTTGTATTCAAATTTTTTTATGGGCTTCAAGCCCCACAAACTGAAATTCAAAATAATATTTAGAGTTTGTTGGTGGTGAATACGAAACACTTCTGTGAATAAAAAGAACACCAGAACTGCCAATGTGTTTAACAGACTGAAAGTCCTATAATGTAAATTTAAATGGTTCTCTTACACTGCTTTTTATCCAATTACATTTACAGGAGCAGTACATTTGTTTTATATTTTTGGAGTAACCCAAATTTGTAATTTAACATAAAATTGCCCACAGACTTAATCTAAAATTGTAACTATCACTACTCTAGCTTTTAAGCTGCAGAGTACTTCAAGAGAAGGAGCTGCTCCATTTCTCTACCAGATTCAGGAAACTAAACTTCCTTTTATTCACAGTTTACGTTGTTTTCTTGCAACATTCAGCAACAGCATATATTTATATTTTATAAATATTTATGTAAATCAATTTATTTTTTATATTTAGGAATATTTTTTAAAAAATTAAAGTGTCTTTCAGACTCACAGTTACAACTTGGGGAAAAAAAAGGTAATATATTGAGAGAGACCATAATTCCAGCCTGTTTATACTGAGATGAAGTGCTGATTGTGCAATGAAGCGCAGAGAGGAAACCATTGGGTTAGTGCTCAGTATTAGTATAACTATACTTGATTGTTTAGCTGTGTGTTTCAATACCTCAATTTTTTGTGCTACTGTTTGGGCCTGGAGAGTCTCAATTTCTTTTAGTTTCAAAGCCAGATTGTTCATCTCCTCCTGCAGCATCTGATTTTTGCCCTGAGACACCAGCAATTTGCCTGAGAGGTCACTATTCGTTTGTTCTAAAAGTGCTACTTCCTCGTGCAGTTTGTCATAGTCCTTGGAGAATCTCTCTTTCTCTTTTAGTATTTCTTCCTTAACGATGGCCAGACTCTTCCATTCAGCAAGCAAGCTGCCATTTTCCTGAAGCAACTGTATTCTCTCCTTCTCCATCACCTCATGCCTGTGTCGAAGATCATCTAGCCTCTCGGAGACACAGCTGTGAAAATCCTGGAGCTCTGCTTTTGATTTAGACAAGGAAATAAAGTCACTCTTCAGTCGTTCGATACTGGAAGCGAGCTGCTCTGTCTCTGCACAGAGGGTTTCTTTTTCTTTAATTGTTTCCACCAGTTTAGTTTCAGATTTTTCTTTCTCCTGAACGAGAAGTTCTTTCTCAGTCAGCAGTTCTTTATTTTTCTCTTTCAGCTCTTCTATCTCCTTCTCTAAGAAGCTGATGTTGCTTTGAAGTTCCACATGTTCCAACAAAAATGATTCCTTGTCCAGTTTTCTAGCTTCCTTTTCTACGGTTAAGTCTTTTTTCATAATCTCAACCTCTCCATTTAATTTCTGACACTTATCTTGCAATTCAGTCCTCTCTCTGGTCAGCATTTCCCTATCAGAGGAACAGGTCTTGAATGAAGATGACAAGACCTCCTTGGCGTGTGATACGGCAGCCAGTTCTTTTTCTAATGTCCTTCTGGCATCCTGGGCCTCTTTCAGAAGATCTGAAAGGTCACATTTACAGGCTATTAGCTCTTGATTTTCTAAAGTCTTCTTACTTAGTTCTTCCTTGAGGGCTTCAATGGAATCTTGGAGCATGGTATTCTCTTGGGCCAGAGCTCTCTTGGCTGAGACATCCAGTTCATGTTCTCTCTTCATATCAGAAATCACATTTGCAGAAGACTTGTTTTCATCACGAAGCTCTGAGTATTTGTTCTCCAATTCATTCTTCTCTTGAAGGAGAGCTTCATTGTCCTTTTCCAATTGCAACAACTTACAAAAAACAGATTCCTTTTCTAAGTTCAGTTCATCTATTTTCTCAGTAAAGACTTTCTCCGCAAGTATGGCATCTGCTGTGGCTTTAGCATGCTTTTCAGCAATTGCCTTATTTTCATTTAAAATTTCCTCCCTCTCAGCCAAAAGCCTTTGTTCTGATGAAGAAAGAGCCTCTTTCTCTTGAAGTAACTGAATACATTCAGAATTTGATATCTCTCTTGAGGCTTTAATTTCCTCGAGAAGACGAGAGAGATTAGCAAGGGAATCCTTCAACTCCATATTGTCTTTCATCACTTTTTTAAGTTCTTTACGTTCAGTCTCAAGTTCTGTTTGCATCTCTTCCGTTCTCACTTTTAATGCTTGGTTTTCACTAACCGTGTTGTCTAAACTCACACGCAGCTCTTCTATGCTTTTAAGGAGCATCTCCTTCTCGCACTGCAGATTCCGACTTGTCTGCAATAGACCGTCCAGTTCATTTTTTAAGGCTGTATGTGTATTTTTAAGATCTGAGTGTTCACCTAGGGCTGAATCTCTCTCTGCAGTCAGAGTTGACACTTTGTGCAGTAGCTCTCTTTGATCTCTCACCAGGGCCTCACAAGAGCTTTCCAGCTTCTGAATAACATCATCTTTGTCTTTAACAACTGCATCTTTCTCTTCCAAAAGTTTCTTCTGATAATGCTCCAGTTCTTCCCATTCTTTGATACGTTTCTGACATACCATATCCATGGCATCTTTGTTGGCCTGAAGTTCTTTCAACTGTTGGAGCAAGGTCGACTCTGAAGACCGGAGAGCATCATTTTCCTGAGTTATCTTCAGAAGTTCTGCCCGTGCCGTCTCTATTTCAGAGAGTAATTTGCTTTTCTCAGAAATTAGTGCTGCCTTTTCTGTGCTTTCCTGCTGGCTTTTGGCCTCAGCTTCTTCCTTCTGCTTCATGATTTTTTTATTTTCTGAATTAAGTTCTTCATTTATTGTCCAAAGTTCTTCTTGGTCTTGTTGCATTAACGAAATCTTTGATTCCAGTTCTAGAAGTTTTGATAACAAGGAACCTCTCTCTAATTTTAAAGTATTCCCCTCCAGTGCCAGAGTCTCTTTTTCTGATATCAAACCCCTCATCTTGTCTGACATTAGTTCAATCTCTTTTCTGGCTGATGCTAACACAGAACTTAAGGACTAAAGAAATAAAGTCAGGGAAAAGGGAAAACAAAAATGAAGTCAAGCAGACAAATGATAAATGCGGTTTAAGGGCAAATAGAGCTACCGTAATTTAAGTTTCAAAAAAGTGTATACACTGACACACAGTCCCTGTGCAAATTCAACTGTTGACAGCCACCCCTGATATTTCATTAGAAACCACCTGCCATCAGTAAGAAAACTTTTCAGTGGTTAAATATTTTAAAGAGAAATCATGGTTTGAAGGTTCCTCCATACAGGACTTCATCTTGTTTTTAAAACTACTGTCAACAAATTTTCTGAATGTAAATTACTCAGAAAGAAGAGCCATAGAATGATTTAATGAGAATCTAAGTGAATTAAAATGCAGGGAGTTATATTATATATAGATACTAACTTGAATTCTCAAATTGACCTTCTGTAGGTAATTCTCCTGAACTCTATGCAAAATATATTGTCATAATCTGTTTACTTCAAAACACATCAGTAGTGTATTTAAAGTTAACCTGTGTGCCAATTTATACACTAAGTATTTTGCTAAAGCATAAAACAAATATTATAGCAAATAACTAATGAGGGATGAAAGCAAGCAGTCATGTCAAAGAAACAGGAGGAGAAAAAATTACTAAAGACAAGCTACAACCTAAATAGTTGCACATAATACGGGATCATACTACAGAACAACTTCAGGTGTGTAACACTTCTAAATGAAATAGTTCACAACATTATTTTAAAGTTCATGCATTTAAAAAACAGAGAATAATATTTGTCTCCAACTGATTGTGCTGAGACAGATATCCATGAACATCAAATGTAACATCAAAGAACCACATTTCATGGATTCTTGTGTAATCGAGAAGACAACAGTTAGTCATGTATGCTTCTCTTCCCATACCAATATTAATCTACCCTGGAAAAGTTCAAAAAAGAAACACTGCAAAAATCTTACTATTAAATGGTGAAAAAACAGTGATTCACTGAAACAGAAAGATTTAAACTTTAAATTACTTGCAGAGTAACAAAGTATACGTACTTTGGCCTGTTCTGCTTGCTTTTTCAGCTCCTCAGCCTGTGTTTCTAACTCATCGTTTTTCTTCTGTGCAATTTTCAGTGCCTCTTCTGCATCCAGCAAGTTCTGCTTAAACCCTTTGATATCTGCGTCATGTTTAGTCATCATGTCAGAAGTTTCTTTTTCGTACTTTGCCTGAAGATCCTTATACTGATTTTGGCTTGTCTCAATTTGCTTTTTCTGACAGAAGATAAAACAATTGGAACACAGTTAAAGCAGCAGTGGTACTATGTCCTGCACATATCTAGTGTTTTTTAAAGTTCTTCTTACCATGTCTGTTAGTTGATCCTGCATATTTTTCAGTTCTGCTTGATGAATCTTGAGAGTTTCTTGCTGACTCTGCTCAGCTTTCTCTGTTGTCTGCTCCACATTTTTCTGAAGCTGAACAGCCTTTTCATTTGCTTTTGTAAGCTCAAGTTGTATTTGCTCCAACTGCCTAGAAAGTCCAAATAAAAGAACATTACTTTGCTGACAGCATGACAAGCACAGGGATGAAAGACTCTAAATTATGCTGAAGTTCTATATTCTGTCCAAGCACTTTGAAAGAAATTTAATTATTTAGCATATAGAGAACATTCTGCTAAATTAAATATACACAAGTGAGACAGAGCACTTGCTCGTGTACAAAGCAACACAGCTGCCTGTTACCTTGCCCCCAGTCTGGCGTTTTGTAAAGTTAAAGAACAACTATACAATTTTTTTTTGAAACAAAACACATTTTCTCTTGCTAGACAAAAACATGACCCATGCCTTTTATATATCCAAATAAACCAAACTTAACAGGTAATCAAATAATTATAAAGCACAACCACAAAACAGTCTAGATTATTAAAAAGGTCCTTTACTCTGGACAATGAGAAGCATGTTACATAAGAATTTTAGAATTATAAATGCCTTTGACACGGTCACAGAATCACAGAAACACTAGGTTGGAAAGGACCTTCAAGATCATCAAGTCCAACCATTAATCCAGCGCCACCATGTCCCCTAGACCATGTCCTGAAGCGCCACATCCACACGTTTCTTGAACACTTCCAGAGATGGCGACTCCACCACCTCCCTGGGCAGCCTGTTCCAATGCCTGACCACCCTCTCAGTGAAGAAATTTTTCCTAATATCCAATCTAAACCTCCCTTGGCGCAACTTGAAGCCATGTTCCCCATGGTCCCCCACAACATTCTTCTCTCTAAATTGGACAGATACGGATTTGATGGGTGGACTGTTGGGTGGATGAGGAATTGGCTGGATGGTCACATCCAGAGGGTAGTGGTCAACGGCTCAATGCCCAGATGGAGATCGGTGACGAGTGGTGTTCCTCAAGGGTCCGTACTGGGACCAGTACTCTTTTAATATCTTCATCCATGACACAGACAGTGGGATCGAGGGCATCCTCAGCAAGTTTGCAGACAACACCAAGCTGAGTGGGGCAGTTGACACGCCTGAGGGACGGGATGCCATCCAGAGGGACCTGGACAAGCTCGAGGAACGGGCCTGTGTGAACCTCATGAGGTTCCACAAGGCCAAGTGCAGGGTCCTGCACCTCAGTTGGGGCAACCCCCGGTATCAGCACAGGCTGACTTGGGGGTCCTGGTGGATGGCAAGCTGGATGTGAGACGGCAATGTGCACCAGAAGGTCAACCATGTCCTGGGCTGCCCCCAAAGCCACGTGGCCAGCAGGGCGAGGGAGGGGATTCTGCCCCTCTGCCCTGCTCTGGGGAGAACCCCTGCAGTGCTGCGTCCAGCTCCGGAGCCCTCGGCACAGGAGAGACCTGGACCTGCTGGAGCGGGGCCAGAGGAGGGCCCAGCAATGCTCCCGGGG